TGTGCTTTGGTGAATGCCTGGTAAGAAGCAATAACTGGCCTGCGGTCTGAATAGGAACCACGGCTGGAGGCGTGGGGGGAACGGGGCTGGGAAAGGGGTCTCTTTATCTAACAGGACCAGGCTGGGTGCATTGGGTGATGTGAGGTAACGTGCAAATCTGGAGTTTAGCTCAACTGCTTTTGCATGAAGTTTTCATGCTGCTGATTGAAAACTTTTTTTTTTTTTTTTTAAACGGATGTTGCAATATAAAGTCTGTCACTCACCATTTCCAGTTCTGGGCTTATAAGGTGACCAAAATCAACCAGTCTGTCCAGGTCATCCTCCCAGAGATTGGGAGCCAGCTCTTCCAACATGGTTTCAATGGCAATCCTGGTGGTTTGCAGTGCAGCGTCCCCGTGGTCGGCAGAGCCACTGTAGGACTGGAACTTGGTGTCCAGCAGGTATTTCCCATGGCTCTTGAGCAAGTCAAACAGCCCTTTGTGTTTCATGAGTGCCATCTAGGACAAAGAACAGAAGAGGTAATTAAAGATAATTATGTGATCCTTGTATGTGCTGTTGAAAACTTGCATGTTTCAATAGACTGGACTATAATACCATGTTATACGCTAGCAAAGACATACCTGCACACTTGGTAAAATGGCAGAGATGATGGGAGCACTGTTGGGCAAATGCCCTTGCTACTGGGCAGCTCTGACCATTTTGTGAGCTTGCTACATGCTCCAACTGCCCAGCAGATGGTTTGTAATGACCTTTGGCTATTTGTGTGCCTGGCAGGAAACTTGAGACTGTCAGCTGAATAGTAGCCACCCCAGGACACCCAGGACTGGGTGGTGGACATCCCCAGGATAACTCTCATCTAATCCTTGGGATTGCTTTTTGGGCAAGGGAAGGTGGGAAAGCACTGCAATATTGGGAGTATGAGGGTTCAGAAGCGGTTTCATTGTTACAAGTACATATTTTTTCACCCTCTGACTCCAGCATTAGCCCACTTCTGCAGTGGGGAATGGTGACCTCTGGGTTTCCGGGTGCCTGCCACAAACCTCCAGATGTCCTGGGGAATTCCCACTGTGCAAGCACAGAAAAACGCTACTGATGAACTCATCTCTAATAAACTTTAACATCTTGAACTCTGCTTTATGAAAAGTTTTCAAAGCTCTTCAGGCATAAAACCATTTACTGTGCATTCCCCGGGTAATTTTAGAAGTAGAATTTATCTTGCAGGAGATTGATTGACCATACTCGACGTACCCCATGAGGTAGGTGCAAATGATCTTGCAGATTATTAATCCCCAGTATGATAAGCCTCAAATTCTCTGCCAGCATTTTAGAGTGCTGTGGATCAGCCTCAATGGGAAGATGTTTTCTTCCCTCGTTTTGCTATGTCTACATCTGGCCTTGAGTTTTGGAGTTTACTCTGCAGGGTTAGCACTAGGCACTGTGTGTAAGTGGTATTCTGACAAGTTTAGCAGCTACAAAAATATATATGGGCTCAACGGGAGTTAAAAGTCCTCGTGCAGCCTTGATGGCCCACCTGTGTTTCTGTAAGGCAGTTTATACAATGCCATGGATGCTGATGGACCTTTTATCAATATTTCAGGTTTGAAAACTGCAGTTGAAAAAGTTCTTACCTTTAAAATTTCACCAAGGCCATTGGAGATGTGTCGCCGAGGAATGCTCTGAATGAAGGACCTATCCAGGAAACTGGCTACTGGGGGGGTGTAGCCCCCGAGCTTGTTCTTACACTGCAGGAAATTCACCCCGTTCTTTGCCCCCACGCTGGCATCAACGTAAGAGAGTAGGGTTGTTGGGACCCGAATGTAAGGGGTACGTCTTCTATAGAGCGACGCAGCTAGTCCTACAATGTCCAGGCAGACGCCTCCTCCGATGGCAATGATGGGCTCGGTTCGCCTGTCGATGCTGAAGTTCTGGACTTCTTGCAAGATGTTCAAGACCAGGTCCATGGATTTCGTTTCTTCGGTGGTAGGCAGGGCGAGGATTTTGTGCTGAACATTGTTCTCTTCAAAGTATTCTCTGACTTTGGAGCCATAAAGTTCGTCAACGACTTCATCTATGACAATAAAGCGCCTCAGCTTCCTTTTGCCACTAGTGGCTAGCTCTAGTTGCTGGGGGTCAGTAATGTGACCCCAGAGCAAAGTAGTGTTAGAGGGATCCAGAATATTGTATGTTTCCACCACTTTGTAGCAAAAATAGATGGGAGCTTCAATTGTCCAGGAAATCCCACCTTCGGAGATGCATTCACCTCTGGCAAGGACCAGAAAACATGGTTTGAAATCACTATATTTCTCTTTTGTACTTTGCATGTCTGAACTAGTTTAAGGATGTAGCCAGGAGGTGGAGTCTCCTGCCTGTGCACTGCAAAAGTGTGGGGCTGTGAGGGTGGGATGGCTCTCATAGAATCATGGAATGCTTTGGGTTGGAAGGGACCTTTAGAGCTCACCCAGCCCAACCCCCTGCAGCGAGCAGGGACAGCTTTAACCAGAACAGGGTGCTCAGAGCCCCGTCCAACCTGGCCTGGGATGCTCCCAGGGATGGGCCTCCACTACTTCTCTGGGCAACCTGTTCCAGGGCTTCACCACCCTCATTGTAAAAAATGTCTTCCTTATGTCTAGTCTAAATCTGTCCTCCTTCAGTTTAAAGCCATTACTCCTTGTCCTGTCACAACAGGCCTCGCTAAAAAGATTGCCCCCATGTAAAAGATGGGTGTCTGGGCTCAACTGCTTTAGTACTGGTGAAACCCTCCCATGTCTTAGTGAACAGTCAAATGGCTGAATTTCTACATGGGAATGATAAGACAGAGAGCACGAAGGGCTCAAGCATGTTATTCATGATGGAAGTTGAAAACCCCAGCAGAAAACCCCAGACCAATCATTTCAACTTCCCAAAAGGGAGTGGGGAAGACATTGCCAAAATTTTCCAAAGTATTTGTGGAGGAAACATCCTCTGCCCACTATATCTGGGTGATAAGAGTTGTCCTGTCTATCTACACACAGCCACACACCTCCATACAAAACAGCGTCTCTACAATGCTGCAGTTGAAACCGTGGATCTCTTTACCTTGAAACAGGTATGATAGAAATAGGAACTGCTCCCAGGTAGTAAAAGAAAATGATTTGAAAGTTGGGAAAGATTTCCATGCTGGGGTTTTAAAGGTTAAATAAAAGCCTACAAAGCCAGTATGTAGTATTTACCTAAAACAGTGAATAAGACAGCCCGGCAACTCAGTTATTACTTCTGTGGGGCAGGGGGAACCAGGGGAAAAAAAGGTGGCTTTTTAAGTTTGTTGGGAACCAAGAAAGGAAAAAAAAACAAAGACAGAAGGAAACTGCAAAATGTATTTTATATAAGACCTCTTCTTGAGCTGCAGTTGGGTAAAAATTGAACATTTCCGTGAACCTTTGTTTTGTTTTTTGAATGAGCAGGTGGCTCATTAGATAATTGGATTTCCCT